ACAAACAGGCCCAAGCCCACCGCAAGGCGTCCTGGGCCCAAGCCCACTCAAGGAAGCCCAAACCCTATATAAGGAGGCCTAACCCTCCAAACTAAGGATCCTCTCTTCCCTTCCCACACTCTTACCCTAGGTCTCTCTCTAAACTCTCTCTCTCTCTCTCTCTACATATCATAAACCGCTTCCTATACCGTACTAACTTGGGCGTCAGAGCGTAGATCCTGGGGGCCGCCGCCCGCCTCACAGGTTCTTCCACTCCCGAGGAGATCGGACGAGGGCATCCAGATCGGAGCCCCATAACCGCCTAGTACATTCTAGGCTCAAACAGGTGGCATGGAAGTGATCTGGAGTAGGTGAAGGTAGTCAAGGAGGATATGAGCATACTGATGGAATTTGAGATGAGGAGTGGCTTTACCGAGCTTATTACAAATGCCCCTAAGGAAGATGAGTTGGCCAAATACAAGAAAAGGTTGAGGAGTTGAAGAGCAAGTTGACAAGAATCCCAATTGGAAGAGAAATTGAGGATCGCATAGAGAAGGTCCATCAAAGTAGCAGAAATAGAATTGCAAAAGAAGGATTAGAAAGTGAATTTTGGGTTGAAACAAATGCCTCTTGAGATTGGAGATAGATGGGATAAAAAGTTGGTTGTACAACGAATAGTGGTGGCTATTGGTCTTTAGGTTTATGGTTGTGCAGCTACCACAACCTATGTCTATCTTAAAATGAGGAATCATTTATTGATTTATTAAAATTAAGGTCGGTTCTCTATTCAAACTAATGGGAGATAAGTAGTGCCTAATTTTGTGTCTTATTAGTTTGATCGAGTCATTAGTATATTGGAGGTAACCTTAATTTTGTCATTTGCGCTCAACTTTTGATGGTTCTCTTTTAGTTGAGTTGTTAGTATATGGTTGACTTGAATTAACAACTCTACATTTCTTTTTAATTAGTGGCATGTGGTTCCTAAAAGGAGAGCATTGAACCCTTTATGTAGGATTATGAGATTTTAGTTTTAGTTTTCAATTATCTATGGGCCGTGTGGAAATTCCAGCGGGCTTTTATACTCTATATGTCCTGACAATTAATTAACCAATAGCATTTTAACGGGAGCTTAATTATAATTATGAAATTGGATTAATGATATATTTTTATATTTTATATACTTAAATGCTGATGGTATTTCTTCAAATATTCAACCTATACATTCATTGTTTATGTATCCTCTCGATCGAAGGATTGTCAATAAAATTAAACGAATTAATAAAGTTAAACATAACATAAAATATAAATACTCAAATACAGACTTTCCGGTTAACGGGCCGAGTTATAAACTAGTGAATAAATACGGTAATATTTGTCTTAAAAATACGTAAAAACTAAAAAGTATAAACTAAATAGGGTTACTTAAAATAGAGTTTCTTTCTCTCTGCTCCTCTCGCCGGCTGCCAGGGCCGGGCCAACCCGCATAATGGTCAATCGAACCCGAAAGTCCGGAACGACGACTTTCACTTTTTGTGTTTTTTATCACAGCCCAAAAAACCTCTTTTTCTCCCATTTCCCCCCTACCACTTGGCCGGCGAAAAGACTTATTCCCAATTACTTCGCGTTGAGATCTCGCGCTGCCGTTCTTCTTCCCCGTCAGGCTCTGATTGTGAGCAAGAGATCGGCACAAATGGCTCGCCAAGCCACCAGACTGGTCGCATCCCTGTCCTCCAAGCTCCGCTCTCCTAGTCCCCAGATCACCCCGCCCTCCTCTTCATCGTCCCATTCTCTATCGCAATCGCGCTCCTTCGCCGCCGCCCCTCCTCCCCCGCCGGCGGTCTTCGTCGACAAGAACACCCGCATCATCTGTCAGGGAATCACCGGCAAGAACGGCACCTTCCACACCGAACAAGCCATCGAATATGGCACCAAGATGGTAAACTCCCTAATTTTTTTAGCCTCCGCCTTTCTCAACGTTGCCTACTGTTTCCGCAAGGTTTGGTGGTGTGTGGGTTTGCTTTGGAATTAGGGTATTTTAGCTTTCTATAGCCGAGCCGGTATTCCTGCCGTCCGTGAGTAGGCATCCCTTTGTATTCATGTATTGAGTATGGTTTTGTGGCGCTTGGTGAAGTCTGGAGAAATGTGAAATTCAGTTTGTCAAGGTATCCCTGAGTGGGTTGTATTACTTTCTGGAAATGGCATTGGTCGATTTTTTTGCTATGGCTCCTTACTCGGATGGTGAGTTAATATTTTGCTGGGGTTCAGTGTTCTCAGTCTTTGCTTGTGATTTCTGAAACAGGTTGGCGGGGTCACACCGAAGAAGGGTGGCACAGAACACTTGGGGCTTCCTGTCTTCAACTCCGTTGCAGAGGCGAAGGCTGAGACAAAAGCTAATGCATCCGTGATTTATGTGCCTCCGCCCTTTGCCGCTGCTGCCATTATGGAGGCCATGGAAGCTGAATTGGACCTTGTTGTTTGTATCACAGAAGGCATTCCTCAGCATGACATGGTAAGAGAATTTCCTGAATTGCTGCCAGTAACGGGAATTGTCTTTGTTAGCTGATTAATGTAACCTAGAGTAATGTAACCTGTCCTCTTGCTAGTTACTGTATTAGCCAATTTTAGTGAAGAACTAGCCATCACAGTTTGTCCTTTGATATGCCGGCTGGTGAAACTTCAATCCTTGGAAGCTGAAGGAAATCAATCTTGTAATGACGTAGATGCCAGTATGACTAGAGCGTTTTCTGATGGCATAGTTTATTATTTGAGGATGTGTGTTGTGCCTTTGTTTGTTATATTGTTGGATCTTTACTTTCCTCCACTGTTACTGAGGAGTAGTTCTATTGTCTAAAAATCTCTCTTTTCTGTTGTCTATTTGAACGGCTCTCTTCAAATTATTATTCTGTACTGCCAGTTTGAGATCATTTCCGTTGGCTACAGGTTCGTGTGAAGGCCGCACTTCAAAGGCAATCCAAAACTAGACTTATTGGTCCTAATTGCCCTGGTATCATCAAACCTGGAGAGTGCAAGATTGGAATCATGCCTGGATATATTCACAAACCAGGGCGTATTGGAATTGTTTCTCGTTCGGGCACGTTGACATATGAAGCCGTGAGTGCTGATCTTTTTGTAGAATATTGGCCATTGTTCTTATGCATTTAAACTAAGTTGCTTGCAAGATCTCATGCTAGATTGATGCCTTTGCTTGTTTATTTCCGTGCTACCATTTGTCTAGTCTACCTGTTGATTGCAACCTCTGGTTTATCATATCAACACGGAGATGGCACTTTGGTGTGTTTGTGTATATGTGATGCAGTCAGCTAATGCATTGAGTATTTGAGTATGTGATATGCTTACGAATTTTAATTGAAGGCCTTGATTCTGTGTAACTTCAGGTTTTTCAAACAACAGCGGTTGGTCTTGGGCAATCCACATGTGTAGGTATTGGTGGTGATCCTTTCAATGGGACAAACTTTGTTGACTGCATGGAGAAGTTTCTGGCAGATCCTCAGACCGAAGGTAAATCCTCCAGACTTGAATTGATCATGGCCTTAATTTCTGGTTAAAGGATGCCTGTGTTTTAACTGCATTTTGGATTACCTAGACTGAGAAAGGACAAGTCACAAACTCATATTGAGCACTAACAAAGAACCTAGAAATAGCCCTTAGGTCATATGCCCTTTGTCCACTGTTAGTGACAGTGGGAACATTTGCATATACAATGTTGAAAGCTCCCAGAGTCCTGCTGTGAAACTTTCTAGAAAGGCTTGGCTATTTTGTCTTCGTGTTCAATGACAACTACAATAGCTTAATATCAGTTTGCAAGTAATTGCAATGATGTTATATACGGTTCCTTCACAGGTATCGTTCTTATTGGTGAGATTGGAGGTACTGCAGAAGAGGAAGCTGCTGCTCTAATAAAGGTATGAGTTTTGAATAAAATGTCATCAATAGTTCTGTCCTCTCCATATGAAGTGTAGTTTTCTCTTGTGGTGCATGTTTGCTGCGTTTCCTTCTCAACTTCTAGATAACAGGCATATGAACGGGAAAAATGAACTGGATTACCCTAGTTAGCATATCCTATAGGATGCTTTTAGAGCTTTTCCTAACTTCCGATTATCTTCATTAAAATAAAATCCGAAATGGCTTTAAGTGATTACTTCAATCCTGAGATTTTTAGTATATTAATTCCCGGACTCTGTATTGATGAACTGTGAGTTGTACGAGATATGGGTTGGTGGATTTGAGTAAAATCAAGTCGCTTGTTAATTTGTTTAATCACTGGAGCTGCCCTCCTTTTTTCCGCGACAGAACATTAAACCAAACCAAAAAACCGATTCTTGAATTATGAACTATCTGTTACTTGGAGGGATTTGCTCTCCATTCTCGAAACCGAATGCTGAGTTTGTTATGACTGAAAACAGGCGAGGAAGACAGAAAAGCCAATCGTTGCATTCATTGCTGGACTCACTGCTCCACCTGGACGTCGTATGGGCCATGCTGGAGGTACTAGTACATCTTTAGATCAGTGGATTTGAGATGTTTACTTGGTTCTATTCCTCTTACAATCATAACATTTACCTTCTGGTTGGTGTGTGGTGCAGCTATCGTCTCGGGCGGAAAGGGAACCGCACAAGACAAGATCAAGACGCTTAAGGAAGCCGGGGTGACTGTAGTTGAATCTCCAGCAAAGATTGGTACCGCCATGTTCAACGTATTCAAGGAGAGGGGTCTGGTTAATTGAACCTAAGCCTGTGTTTCCATTGAGTAGCAGGTTTTACTTCAGACTTGATTTTGCGTAGCTGTTTTTCTGTTGCCTTTTTGAACGATGTCTGAAAGGAGTTCGGAGGAAAGTTTCTTGATTGACAAGGCATCAGCCTGCCGCATGAGAGTTGTAAAAACCTTTTCTTTTTGTAAGAGCTCTCCTTTTACTCACTTCACTGCCCTGCAGTGTGAAAAATAATTTTTGTTACGCTGAAGGTTAAAGATAAAAGACCTTTTTGCAGGCTAATGGTCGTTCCTTTCTCCAATCTTGGAACCTGAGTTAGTTGGATAGTTAAGTATCAGATAGGGTCTGTATCATTCTACAGCTGAAATCGAAAGATGGCGGAAAAAGATTCCAATGGTTCACAAATCACAAACCAGGTGAAGCTACAACAAAGTCAACAATGGCGGTCCATTTTTAAAACTCCACACTAAAGCCAGGAGGTAGAAAAATATCAGACTCGCGAGGCAACGATTTCACTTCCTGAATACTGCCATCCTCCAACTGGAACATCCGAATGCCGTCAGTAGTCAACATGGTTCTGGCCACATAGTCGTCGTCATCCGAGTAGTAAATGCAGTCCTTTCTCCCGCCGGCGATCTGTGCAGCCGGAGCCGAGAAACAGCACTCCGTCGTCAGCACAAACACAGTATCATCATCCCCCAACGACTTCACTTCAACCCATTCACTCATTTCCTCATCCAGCTTGTAGACCTTGAAATCCACCGCTCTGGGGTTCCAATTCCTGTTCCTCCCTGTTCCCACAAGGTACCGGATTGGGTTGAAGCTGTTGGTAATCGCATCGTCCACATCCTTCGAATTCCTCCTCCTCCCATCCAAATACCTGTCGACCAGATAAAGATCCCCGCCGGAGTCCACCAGATTCTTCTGCCCGCCGCCGCCGGATCCGTCGTGGAGGAACTGCGGCGGCGAGTAGGATTTTTCGAATCTAAGAGACGAATCAATGAGCGACAGCTTCCCCAATCTGTCGATTACGTGATACCGACCTCGGTGGAGGATTATATCGTCGTAATCAAAGTTTCTGCTGTCTAAGTAAGTCCAGTGCTGGTCTCCTTTCCTCCAGTAGCCTATTCTGCCTTCGTGGAAAATGGCGATGACGGTGATCGTCGACTGTTGGGGCGGGGGAGACGCCGCCGAGGCGGCGGGGGGAAAGGGAAGGACCTTATTGATCTCGAAGGCTGGGAATCCAATCTGGTACCTGAGGCGGAACGAGGTGCATAATTGGACGGCCCGAAAGTCGAGCAAGCTCAATTGAATCGGAGAGGAGTGGAGCTTGAGGTTGGAGATCGGGTTCAGAAGCTGCAGCTTGCCGCGGGAGGATTCCTCGATCTTGATCAGCCAGCCGCCGTCTGCCTGCGGCGGTGCATCGCCATCGATTGAATCATCATTGGGAATCGGAGGCTGAAACTCCACACAGCACATGGTGGAGGGAATGAGGAAGCCGTCGATGTCGCCGGGGTAAGGTAGCCTGACCTCGACGGGTGGAATCAGTTGGTCGAAGTCAGGGGTGAGGACGGCGGAGCGCCATGAATAGCAGACGGATCGGAAGGTGATAACGTCGACGGGGCGGCCGACGCGGCTGCCGATGGCATCCAGGATCTCCTCGGGGAGATCTGCCCACGGTGATCCACCGCGAGTCGTCGTCATCGTATGGGTTTTTTTTGGGAGGTCAATGTGAGTAGGTGGACGGTGGTTGCATTTGCATCAAACTGCATCTGCCCATTTCTGCTTTATATATTTGTTTAAGGGCTCACAGTCTGGCTGTACCCCTTTACAGCAGTTCTGCCCTTGTCCCAACAGGATAATTTTGTTTTTGTTTTCAACTTAATGACCAACCAATATGGTCACTGTAATCAGGTGTGTAGGATGCTCTAATCCCTCAACTCTTACTTATTAGTCTGCTCTAGAATCTGCTGTCTTTTTTGGAGTCTGCTGCTGTTCGAGTTCATGGAGAACTGCGAAATTCGATCAGTTTGTCTGAGTTTTCCCCGAGTGAGTGAGTTCTATAAGCAGAGGATCTTTGACTGACGAAAGATGGAATATTTTGCAACGAAAGGTTGCTTTCCATACGAGTGGGAACTCTATTTATAAGCAACTGATGTGGGTTGTTTTCATTGTTGAAGATGGCGTTGCTGGATTGTACCGTTGTACGTTCTAAGAGACTAAGACAAGATGTCTACTTGGCGAGTTTCGGGTTTCCTCGTAATTCCATTGTTTTGGTCTTTCTTTTGCTTCTGCAGGTATTATGGAGGCTGTGGAAGCTGAACTCCGAAGAAGGGTAGCTAATTCTTGCTCCTCCGCCTTTTGCTGCTGCAGGTATTATGGAGGCTGTGGAAGCTGAACTCGACCTTGTTGTTTGAACGTCGCAGAAGGAATTCCTCATAATGGCATTGTAAGTGCATTTGGTGCCTTTGCTGGCAGTCTTTGTGAAGCTGATGGAGTTGTTTTCTGATCTTCTTGAGTTTTCTGGGTGTTTGCTTATTCTCTGTCACTACTCGAGTAATGTGTAACCTGTTATCTGGCTTCTTAAAGCACAAGAAAAGCACCAGCCGTCTCAGTTTTCCCTTTTACAAGCTGACTGGCGAAGCTGAGGAATTCGATCTTGTAATCTAAAATCGTCTGGTGATTTAGATGCGGTCTGAACTAGAGCATTTTCTGATTTCATGTTCATGGTTTGTTATTTGAGAATGTATTTTGCTGGATGTGGTGCCTGTTTACTGCAATTTCCGCATATGGATGGGAAAAACGGATTGGATTAACTATAGTTTTCGCTTTAATCATGCAGGTGATTCTGAGTTCATCAAGTTTCTTGTTAGTCAAAGTTTCAGTTGTTTTTGTGGGCCTTGTTAGCCCATGTGTGACATATAAAAGTAAAAAAGCCCACTTATTTGGCCCATAGTACAGTGTGCACACGTGTCTTGTGCCAGTGGCCAACGCGTGTGAAATTAGTCGCGTCGCGGGTGCTTTCTCGCAAGTCGCAACCCATCCCGCTCCCACTCTCCCCGATGAATCAAAGAGCTTATATTTCTGCCGAAAGCGGAAAATCAGCAAACCTTAATCGCTCCAGATTTCCACTCCAAATGCGAACCCTAAAATTTTGGCGCCAATTTTTTCAAAACCTCGCAAAATCAAAATCGATTCGACTTCTTTCTTCCGCAACATTCACACTAGTTTCTTCTCCATCTCTGACTTCTGGTACCCTGTGAACAAGCGCTATTTCCACCAGGGGGGAAATGGAAGCGGCTGGGGGGCCGGATGGTGCGGGGAATCAACCCAGTCTACAATGCTGGCTCAAGGAGCCAGCTGCCCCTGTGCTCCCGGGGTGGGGCAGGAAGGCTAGGAAGCCAGCGAAGGCTTTGAACGAAGCTGGCAAGCGGGGAGAAGCCAAGACGGCGGCTGAGAGTGACGACGTCCGTGTGCCCAAGAAGCGCGGTAGGAAGCCGAAGAAGCGTTTCGATGGTTTGATTGAAGTTGGCCGGCAGGTGGAAGCCGAGACGGCAGCTGAGAGTGGCGACGTCCCTGTGCCCAAGAAGCGCGGCAGGAAGCCGAAGAGGCAGTTTGAGGGTTTGGATGAATCTGGCAAGCATGGGGAAGCCGAGGAGGCGGTTGAAAATAGCGATGTGCTTGTGCTGAAGAGGCGCGGTAGGAAGCCGGGGAATCAGGTGGAGGCTTTGAGTGAAGGCGGTGGGCTGGGTGCAGTCAAGGAGGCAGTTGAGAGTAGCGGCGTGAGTGTGCTCAAGAAGCGTGGTAGGAAACCCAAGAATCGTGTGGAGGATTCTAGGGAAGCTGGTGATCAGGGAGAAGCCAAGGAGGCAGTTCAGAGTAGCGGCGTGAACGTTTCCAAGAAGCGTGGTAGGAAGCCCAAGAATCAATTGGAGGCTTTGAGCCAAGGGGGTGAGCAGGGAAAAGCTGAGGCGGTTAGGAAGCAAGCAATTAGGGGCCGTGAGTATAGCGAGGAGTTTGGTCCGATTAAAAAAAGACTGAGGACTATTGAACCGAAGAAAGTTAGCTTTTCTGAGAATAATGGACTAGGCGATTGGGAAGAAGAGATACCAGAGAAGACGAAAGGGAAGAAGCGAGGTAGAAGGAAGGAAATGTATTTCAGTGTTGGTTCTGATTTGACTGTGGGAGGTGAACCACGAGTTGGGGAAAGAGAGTTAAAGAAGCGTGGTAGGAAGAAGGGTGGTCTTATAAGAGATGCTGGTTCTTTTACTACCGTGTTGCAGGGTAGAACTTGCAGATCTGGTCATGGTGCACACCCCAATCCCGAGGAGGTAAATATGCCCATTGCTACGTGTTTGCTGTATTATTTTCTTAGTGAGCAATTGGTTTGATGAGTTCTGGATTGTGTTCATGTTTTGCAGGCTAAAGAGAAGTGGCGATTTAATTGTCATCAATGCAAAAGGAACGATAAAGGCCCAGTTATTTGTTGTCAGCTATGTAAAACAAAGCGATATTGTTACAAATGCATAGAGGCCTGGTATGATTGGATCAACTCGAATTGTTCTTTTACATGAGAGATAGAATTAGTTAAGCTTAGTTCATTGGGAGCCTAAGCTTTACTTTTGTGGTTATTGACAAATGATGCATGCTTTACTTTTGTGGTTATTGACAAATGATGCATGGAAACCTGGTATATGTTTGCTGTCTGCGTATCCTTATCTTAACAACTCTGCCTGATGAACATCTTAAGTCTGATTTGTTTCTGTATTTTTCTGGCTTCCTGTTGTATAACTTGTTTCTCCCTGTTCTCTTTGTTATTCAACCTGATCTTGCATTATTGTTGGTTTTGAGGGGTAATTTGACAGTTTGTTAAGCCCATCAATGTTCCGTTTTTCTTGTTCCCATGTGATGTGTAAATGATGCATTTGATGGACAGAATTTTAATATTTGAGAATCTAGAAAATGAATGAAACAAATTGGACCATTCTGTCTCAAATGTGCAGGTTTTGGTGCCATTTCATTATATTCTAACTGAAATCCCATTAGTTAATTTCCCATGCTTTGACTGCTGAAAGTTTTGCATTTCATTCTGTAGGTATCCAGAGAGGTCAAAGAATGACATTGCCAAAGCATGCCCAGCATGCTGCAACAATTGCAATTGCAAATCATGCTTGCGCCTAGATTTTAAAATCAAGGTTGGTATCTTTCCTTATGATCTCGAGCTCTCTTTGATGAGATAGGTATTGCAATCAGTGAACAAATGGAAATTCTCCAGGAACTGAATAATCAAAGGTTGGATCTCACTAAGGAGAAGGAAATAGAATGTTCAAAGTATATGATCCGGTTGCTTTTGCCACACTTGAAGCAGTTAGATGAAGAGCAAATGACAGAGAGAAAGATTGAGGCAGGGATACAAGGTAATTTGGTTCCTGTCAAATCTGTCTTGGATAACATACCAAACAGTGGCCATTTTTTCAGATACATGCTGTATATACTGTTATATTCCTTCTTCTAAGTCCCCTTGTTGTTCATATTGATTAGTGTGTGTAGTAACCATGGTTTTTGCATCTGTGCTTCCCTTTTGGTCTCCTGCTGTGAATTTCCCATCTCCCATTTTTGTGTGTTTGTAGAAGTGTGCCCAGGCTTCTGCTCTTTCTTGTGGGTATTGCTGGAGCTGTTCTTATCTCATCCTTCAAGTTATTCCTTCTTTTTTTTTTCTTCTGCAGGGATATCACTTGAAGAGTTGGTGGTACCAGAAGCAAACTGTCCACTAGATGAGCGAATGTTCTGGTAAAGATATTCATATTGTTTTCCACTTGTTAACCTCTGAGTTCCTTGTCAATGCTTGGCGCGAATCCCTTTTTTTCCCTAATGTTTTGTTTTTGTTGCAGTGACAATTGCAAGACTTCTATTTTCGATTATCACAGGAGTTGTTCTAACTGCTCGTCTGATCTCTGCCTTATTTGCTGCCGGGAGATCCGTCATGGATGCCCGCATGATGGCAGATCAGAGGTTGCTGTGGAATTTATAAACAGAGGGTTCTCTTATTTACATGGTGGAGAGAGTGAAAAAGTTGTTCCTCCTCTAAATGACATAACTGTTGCAAGTAGCTCCGAGGACCATGTGAAATCATGCTATGGGTGGACTGCAAATAAAGATGGAAGTGTTCTTTGTGGCTGTGGTAGTGCGACTCTAGAATTGAAATCAGTTCATTCAGGAAGTTGGTTGTCAGCTTTGGTGAAGAGGGCAGAGGATACTGCCCAGAGATTTAATTTGGAATTATCTAGACCTCATGCTGAACAATGTGTGTGCTCCAGCGAGACAAGTGACAAGGAAAGAAGTGACCATGATGAGTTGTTAAAAGCTGCATGTCGTGCTGCTTCTGATGACAATTATTTGTTCTATCCAAGGGCTACAGATATTAAGGAGGAGGATATAAAGCACTTTCAGTATCACTGGTTGAAATCTCAGCCTGTCCTTGTAAAAAATGTGCTTGAAACTGGTTTTGGTTTAAGCTGGGAGCCAATGGTTATGTGGCGTGCCTTTCGTCAAGTCACCAAATACAGAGATCATGAAGCCCTTGTCAATTTGAAGGCCATTGAATGCTTGGACTGGTGTGAGGTTAGTCGTCTTGCAACTATTATTATTATTTATTTTCTAATTTTTTTGTAAAGCTGATTGTTGGTCCCTTGATTTGAACCTAGGGTGATTGTTGGTTGTCTTGTTAATTGAGCAAAGTGAAGTAACTTGTTTGACTGCTTGCTGAGATTGCTGTCTGATCTTTAGCAATGTTCAATTATTATTGTTTTCGAGAATGTTAGTTAATTTTCTTGAAAGATGAAAGCTTTTGCTGCTTCTCCATCGGATGTTCTTGCATCCCAAACTGTTAACTTTATAATCTTTTTCATTTCTTGGATGGAAGCAATAGTCATATGAGTATATGTAGGCGTGAGCATCGGTCGATTCGGTCTAGAACAGGATCGAATTGAGATAGGACCGGACCAAATATAAAGGAAAAATGCGGACCAGAACCGGACCAAAAGTATGTGGTTCATTTGATTTGATTCCGTGCGATCCAAATTATTTCAGTCCGTTTTTTCTTCATACTTAAAATAATTCATAGGACTAAAATTGAATCAGAAAATATTCGGTCTGATTCGATTCTTTCCAAATATTGCCCAACCCCAAGTATGAGGCTGCCTCAATATATTCAGATGTTTGGGTGGATCTTTCCTTTAATTAGTTTTTCATTGTTTAGTTGAACTGAGAGCACTCAAGTATAGTACGTCAACTTGCATTTTGTCCTTGGATCTTTCCTGCCCCAGCCTGGGAATCAGATGCTATTTAGTACCATTGGAGTTTGATCTCTTAGACTCAGAATAGCGTAGAATGGTGCTTCACGATGAATTGTGATCCTAAAGTTCCCCTTAATTCTGAGGTTGATTTGTTGTTGTGTTGTTGTTGTTAGTGGTGAAGTGGTGGTTTTGAATTTGTGAGTGCATGCAGGTGGAAATTAATGCTCATCAGTTCTTCAGGGGATACTCAAAAGGCCGGCAAGATGGGGAAGGATGGCCACAGATATTGAAGCTGAAAGATTGGCCTCCATCTAAAATGTTTGATGAAAATTTGCCCCGGCATGGTCTGGAATTTATTTGTTGTCTTCCCTTTAAGGAGTATACTCATCCTATTGATGGACCTTTGAACCTTTCTACCAAAATGCCTAAAGAATGTCTGAAGCCAGATTTGGGGCCTAAGTCATATATAGCTTATGGATTTGCTGAGGAGCTGGGCCGTGGTGATTCTGTCACCAAGCTTCATTGTGACATGTCGGATGCGGTAATATCTTGTGTACTTATGTAATACTTTGTTTCATGTTATCACCTAGACTTTTGTCAATATTGTTTCTGTTTAATTTAGCTTTGAGCTCCAGCTTTTATTTATTGTTTTGGTGAAGGAAAAAAGAACTTTTACAGCACGACTAAAAGTAGTACTTAGTAAAAAACTTTATATAAGTTAAACACACTCTGCATAGTGCAATGCTTTCTATGTTTTGTGATGGATATAGGTCACCTTTTGGGTAAGACCTTTATTTTAACGGCACTACTCTCTGACTCGTTTCTTTCGGTGCGATTCTGATGCCACATTACCTTCTAGTTTCTAGTGGCTTGTAATATGCACAACCTCGTAAAAATATGTTAACAGTCTACTCAGTCACTATTTGTGTGTTTATGTCGAAGTTGCTTTTTTCAGGTGAATATCTTGACTCATACTACTGAAGCAACTTATGAAGACACAGATATACTTGCTAAAATAGAGGGTCTGAAGCAAATGCATAACGAGCAAGATAAGAATGAACTATTTGGGGACAATCAAGCTGTAAGTGAGCCCGAGAAAAGCATGCATAAAATGGAGAGCCAAGGCTCGCCTGCAGATGATGAAGATGACAAGGACGTGGCTTGCGGACGGGAAGGTCCTTGGCCGAAGTTGTCTGCCTGTGTAGAAGGATCAGAGCTGAAAAATAGCGATGGGGATGTTCTGGTTAGAAGCATTGAAATTGGTATGGATCTTAATCATATAGGCGAAACAGAAAATGAAGACGGTCAACTAATTGTCACTGATCTTTCAAAGGAATCAAAGTTGGAAAAAAACAGTGAAGAAATGGCCCAAGATGGAGACGGTCAACTAATTGTCACTGATCTTCCAAAGGAATCAAAGTTGGAAAAAATCAGTGAAGAAATGGCCCAAGATGGAGGTAAGGATAATGGTACATCCAAGAGTAGTGTAGAGGAGGGAGCTGCACTGTGGGATATTTTTCGTAGTGAAGATGTTCCTAAGCTGGAGGATTATCTTAAAAGGCACTTCAAAGAGTTTCGGCACATACATTGTTGTCCATTGCCCAAAGTTATCCACCCAATTCACGATCAGAGCTTTTATCTGTCCACAGAGCATAAAAAGAAGCTGAAGGAGGAATATGGTTAGTCATTGGAGTCTGCTGATGTGCAAATCCTTAGATGCACAGTGTATGTTGTTCTAACAAATGGTTCATTTGTTTTCTACTGATGCATGCTTATGCCAACATCTCAGGCATTGAACCTTGGACATTCGTTCAGAAACTTGGAGATGCTGTGTTTGTTCCTGCCGGCTGTCCTCACCAAGTGAGGAACTTAAAGGCGAGTTAGCATTCTGTCTGTCTGTCTTGTTCATAACCTGCAGAAAGACTAATGGACTGACCTCTTAAATCTTTGTGTTGCCCTACAGTCGTGCATAAAGGTAGCCGTGGACTTTGTTTCACCAGAGAACGTGGGTCAATGCATTCGTTTGACAGAAGAGTTTCGCCTACTTCCTCCTAACCACAGGGCTAAGGAGGACAAGTTGGAGGTGATGTTCTGAAATTTAGCACCCATGCCTCTTAGAAAACGTTCCAACTGAGAAGATTATTCTCTAGTGCATTTTTCCTATGTTGATAACTGTCTTCTTAAAACAGGTGAAGAAGATGTGTGTTTATGCCATGGACCGGGCTGTGAAAGCTCTGGAGCAGAGTGAGAAGTGAGTCGTTTAACAATGAAATGCCTTTTGAATCGAAACCACCGCTGCTTTTACTTCTCTTGATCATTTTGGTTGTTTGAATTTTTCAGGTTAGACGTTGAAGAGAAGGAAGCTGTGGCAGACACAAAGGGGAGGGGGAGGGGTAGACCAAGAGGACGAGGCAGAAAGTCGAAGTAGGACATGCTCGGTGATCGGCATGTGGTGTAAAATGAAGTTCCAAGTAACCGACTGTTGTTGTGACATTACCTAGGACTGATAGGGTCGTTTAGGTACAAGGTTTCTCCAAGGAACCTTTGAAAGCATGCCTATGGAAGGCATGCCACTTCCCTAGGCCAGGTGCTGCAATCTAGTTTGTATCACATCTAGGTGTTAATTATGATCCTCAGTAGTCGCCTTGCTTATGGCTGGGGAAAGGGGTTGGTAAAAATGGTTGTAAAAAATTGAACAAGAGCAGCGATTACTGTGGTGATCCGGTTGTTATTGTCTTGGTTTTGCGTTTGTTTGTGGGTTGAAATTAGTTACCAAGAATAGCAATTGCGTGAATGGATTATATTTTATGGTGAAAAGACAAAGAAGAGAAGACTGAGGGGAAAGAAAGGCATGTGAATGAGGGTGATTGGTGAAGTGGACATGAAACCAACTATAACCAGTCTCTGGTCTGTATTATTAGTGGCAGAATGTAAGGTTAGCATTTCTCGTAATTAACATTTTCCCTCCATGATATTGGTCAAGTGGGATGGTGTGTAAAGGAATAATGATGATCCATGATTTGAATGCAGATTGCATAGGGTAGAAAATATGAGGACCAAGCAATCATAGCAGCTCCTTTCAAAACCCTAGCTAGAATGGGACAGCAAGTCAGGCATTTATAGCAGCAGGCTGTGGCCACCTTCCTATGTTTGGAAACTTGGAAATGGACTGTCATGTGTGCTTTCTGACTATTGGTTGCCACACAATCTGGTAAAACAGGTTTTGTTCTGTAACAACAATAATAATATGCACACTCTTCAATTTACCTACCCTCTTTATTTTCTACATCTCCACTTGTGTCTAGCTGAAAATGGAGGGAGGAAGTAACATAGTAGGGTTTATAATGGATAATGAAGAAATCAGACTCATATGTATAATCTTACCGAGTGTTACCAGAAGAAGGAGGTGATTTGATTTTAGTCGCTTTGTTTTTTTTTCCCCCCTTCCATCTTTGTTAACATGGCATTGGTTTCACAAGTTTTAGCAAGAACAATATTGATGGATGGATGGAAGGGGGTGAAGTATTTACTATATTGTTGGCTTCTTCATTCAGAAATGTGCATATGGTAAGTAATAGTAACTTATTGTATTGGGATGGTTTACATTTACATAGCTTATTTGGACTTCAGTCCCCCTTTGTTTATGTGTTTCATGACAGGAACTGGCTACCTCCACGAGAAGAAAGGAATGGAGACAACACCAGCATCAAGAATAGGTAAAATGACAACCAAATTGAGAGAGATAGTGAGTGAGAAAGGAAGGAAACAGGTGCACCTTTTTCGAAATTGTTGCGTCGTTAGAGTATATTGTTTGGATTTTAGATACATGCTTTTCATGCGAGATCGATTGCGAGCCATAATTTTATTATCGTGTGTATAATTGATAATTGATTCGGAATATAGTAAATGTTATAATCTCACTATCAAAGTGAATTTATAAACACATATATAATTAGGTCAATTGATTTTGTTTTTCATGTGGGATAATAAAATTCTTTTCTCCAAACAAACTATGTAGCAAAAAGAAAAAAAAAAGAGCTTGTGTATAAAAGACTTACAATATATACTATGAATAAAAATTATAAACAATAAAAGTAGTCAAAATGAATCTTGTTAGATTTATTTTATATAAAATAATATGATTTCATAATTTATTTTATTTTTAAAATTATATTTTATGAAATAAAATTAAAATATGGTAAGAATAATCTTGTATTTTCTTAAGAGTTTTTCGCATAAGCTTCAAATCGGAGCTTCTGCTTTTATATTATACACAAACGCTTTTCACCTTTTCAAAATCCGAGCTTTTAAAGGTGTTTGACCCCTACTTCAACTTTTGAAACTGAAAAGCAATCTAAAAATCGGGCCAAACATAAGCTATAATTCATCGTAGCCTTTGTATATGTGCTTCGTGACCGGAATTGACTACCTCCATGAGAAGAAAGGAATGGAGACAAGATAATTAAGGTAAATGAGAACCAAATTGAGAGAGAAAGTGAGTGAGTTGGAATGAAAGAAACATGTACATTGTTCTTGAATCTCCCTCTTTCTCTCTTGCACATATATGCTTCAATAAGACTTATAAGTTATAACCGCTGTTTAGATTTTGAACTTGTTGCGTACTTAGAGTATATTGTTTGGACTTTCGATGAATGTTTTTTAGGTGAAATCGATTGTGGATCATAATTTTTCACGTGTAATTTTCTTTATTTGATTATTGACTATTAGGTTCAAACTCAAGATATACTAGATGCTATAACTTATAATCTCACACTATCTAACATAGGTCCAATCAATTTTGTTTTTCTTTTAATTGTGGGATAATAAAATTCTTTTCTCCCAACAAAATTTGTAACAAAAAAAGGAGTATGTAAATGGCTCTGAAATATCCAGCCACTATCATCGAATCAAAGGTTCCATTTGTCAAACAACGAATTTTAGGTAATGATCTATCTAAGCGATGGTATACAATTCATCCTCCAAACAATACATAGAACTACACTATCGCAAATTAAAGTAGGGGGTAAGAGTATATATATATATATATATGGTGGTGTTTTCAGTGCACTCACTTTTTTTGGTGCATTCAGTGTACTCGCTTTATAATCGTCATTTTAAACATGCGGTTCATGTCAAAATGATTTCAATCATCACTTATGATATGATCAATAATAACACACATGAATTTGCACAAAAATCATTAAAGATTTACTTTAATTTCAAGAATTTCGAGTTTAGAGATTTAGGGTTAGGGTTTACAATTTGGGATTTAGGGATAGAACTAAAAATTGGAGGTCTATGGCTTAGGGTAATCCTCTAATTAGTTGTTATCATATGTTATATCATCATATTACACTAATTCCGCAAATTAAAATTCAAAATCCGACATCTTAAGACTAGTTTTTGAGTTGGGTGCATTGAACGCACTCATTTTTGTGGGTGCACCGAAGTAGTCACCATATATATACATATATGTGGTTCACGCTAGCGTACGTCAGTCGTACATTGTACGCCCGTCGAGTTTTACTATTTAGAGCACGAATTAACCAAAATTTTGAACATTATACTATACCCTAACCTGTAATGGTGAACCCCAGTCCCTAATTCTATAACCCAAGCCACAAGATTCATTTAATCTAAAAAATAATAACTGATGGTTCTGATTCGACGAAATATATTGAAGTGTAAAAACCAAGTGTAAACACAGGCGTACAGCGTACGTATATATATGGTGGCTACTTCGGCTTACACCCAACTCTAAAAGTGTCCATAGTACATCAAATTTTGAACTTTAATTAGTACTCTCAATCTAATATGATGATATGACATAAAATCATAACAAATCAATCTATTACCCTAACCCCTTAACCTTCAATTTTGAATCCCAACCCAAAATCCCAAATTGTAAACCTAAACCCTAACCGTAAATTTCTAAATCCTAAACCTTTCAAATTAAATTAAATTTTGAATGATTTTTTCTTCAAATGCACGTGCTTCTTGTTCATAATATCATAAGCAACAATTAATACCGTTTTGACATTAACTCAGAATGACAATTATGATGCGAGTGCATTGAGTGCACCCAAAAAAGTAGGTGCAGTGAATACGCCACCATATATATATATATATGAGATTATATCCTCTGAATACATGTGTAAATATTCATACATATTTGTATACATAGTCACCAACTCTCACCATGACTGAAACGAGCCAAACTTTTTAACCCTGGAGATTGGTCCAGGGTCGTGGTAAAAAGAGAGAAAGAATAAGTTCAGATTCTCTACCAAGTCATTACCATTTTTTTTTAGGGGAACTACCAAGTCAATACTTACTGTAACACCCTTGCTCGGCCGAGCACTAAATTTACCAAAATACCCTTAAGTAATCAAAATAACTCAAAATGGAAATAATACAGAAAATAATTTTTAAATCACCGTAGGAAATCTCTCTTAACAAATCATAAATGAGCATCAGTCTCAAGCCTACTAATAAAAGTACAAAAGTGAAAGAGTTCACTTGGAATCTCTTGCAATCACTAACCCTTGTGACGATGACATCCTGAGCAATAGCTTCCTCTTGACCAGTGGTCTGAATGCTCCTGCTTTCTTGTACCTCCTGAGTGCGGGCGATGGGGTCAGTCCTAATCCTAATTTCGTTATCATACTTAAATGGAAAGCCATGCACATGCAATGCTTATGGTACGTCATTGGGTACATTAGTAGCAGTGTATTATTATTAACGTATTCTTGCGTATCATATTTTCTACTTTCTTAACTTGAAATGGGATCCTGCCCTCTACTTAACTAGCACATCCGTCCGGCACCAACGTATCATGAACATAACCTCCTCATCTACAAGGAGTAACATAACATACCTCCCCATCTACAGGGAGTAGTGGTGACCGCGTCCGGCACCGATCGTGACATACATATCATGACCCCTCATCTACAAGGTGCTCCTCATCTACAAGGAGTAAGGTGACCGTGTGTGACTAGTTAAGAGAGGGTCTTGTTCTTACTTGTTAACTTGATATCTTATACGTGCTTGCTTGAACAACCTCTCCCACGATGGAGAGTCATACTTAATCTTATACTTGCTTACTTAGCTTGAGAATTCTGAGTTTACTTAAGGTAATCTCCCACACAATGGGAAGATATAAGGTTCTTAACTTGCACTTGAGTAGTTTAAAATTGAACTGTATTTACCTGTCTCATAACATGGTTTACTTATGCTTCATGATACTATGCATACTTAAAATAAAGACTGAAAGTAACCAAATTAACTTAACATGAAAGTATGTAATGAATGACTGAACATAAAACAAGAACTGAAATGCATAAATGAACTTTAAATGTATAGACTGATAACGAAAACTACTCTAGTCCCCTTTAACCACGCACCTTAATTTCAAGTCGATTATCAACTTATATCCTGCCCGATGATCCCAAACGTCCTTATAGGCTTTGTACGTGTCCATGCACCATTTTCCTTCTTCTTTTAACTTTCCCCTAGAGATAGAGCACGTAAATCTCACTCTGATCATATACCCGCGTACTTTCCTTACATTAATAATCCATATTTCATTTCAACTACTCAACCCCTTCTAATAATTAACCTATCATGCATTCTATCCATGCACGTAACTAACTTAGTTACTAGATTGTAAAGGGCTTTTGTTTTTAACCTCAATCACGAGCTTCTTTGGTTTAATGACCCATCACCATATATAAAAATCCATTGCATTCGTCCATATAGATGTAAGGATGATAACCCATTCCTTTAATTAATGACCTACTGAAATCGCCCACAATCCTCCAATATCAAGTGATTCTACAAATCAAATGAACGATGATAAATCCTTACCTCCAGCACCTAGCCCAAAGCACGATTTTGAGGATCCCCTGATGTCAATTCCTCGTTGTCGATCGTCGTTCGAGCTCCTGTAATCCCGCCGCCAAAACTATGGACGAGAGAGGATGATCCCAAGCTACTGTGCCCGACGAACAGAGGACACGACGTACGGAGGAAATGGTGTCGCTCCCCGGCTTGCGTCTCTGTCGGCTGTCGTTTTCGTTGGGGAGCTCGTTTGCTACTAGTGGAGGGAGGAGTTGTACGGAGGGAGGGGAGGTCGGAGGTGGGAACTGAGGTGGTGGTGGTGGTTGATCGGCGGAGTCAAGGCGGCGCTGATGCTTGGTTTTATTGGTTTAGGGTTCTCGTTCCTACCGTTTGGCCACTAGGTTTAGTTTTTATATATAATTAGGGCTGAAAATTGGCCCGACCCGCCCCTGACCCTGTTTTACCCGTCCCTGAAGGGTCAAGATGTATAACTGACCCGCCCCGACCCTGTTTCTTTCATGACCCTGTCTGACCTTTTAGGGTCGGGTCAGTGGGTCGACCCTAATAAATAGACTATTTTTTTAAAAATTACAATTTGATACCCGAATTTATTTTTTCATACATTTTAGTACCTAAATTTTATTTTTTTTACAAATTAGTCCCTAAAATTTGATGGTGAATTACGTTTTGGTACCCAAAATTTTTAATTTTTACATTTAAGTACCTAAACTTATAAAATTTTACAAATAGGTCCAACATGTTTGTATGATGCTAAGGGTCATAGGGTCAAAAAGTGACCCGACCCTAAATTGACCTGACCCTATCTGACCCGACCCTAAGCCGACCCGACCCTAAATTGGCCCTATAGACTAGCTGACCCAGCCCGACCCTGAGGGTCGGGGCGGGTTGGGCCGGATCAGTGGGTTTTAAGGGTCAAACTTACACTCCTAATATATATATATATCCACATGCATTGAGAGGGAGAAATCCCCACCTGTTGCCGCATTAGTTTAGGGTTAGATAGAGTTAATTAATTAATTAATCATAATAACTAAATGAGAGTAAATTTGGAAATTCATGAAAATTCTAGGTACCGGGTGTGACATTTTACTATGGCCAAGTGGTGGTAAAAAAAAAAAAAGTTGTAAAAGTCTCTGTGTCAGTTGAGGAAGCAGATGAGAGGCTGTGGCCCTACATTTTAAGGATAGTTACCTCTTTGTCTTGTACCTTTATGGACCTTTCCTACCCTAAACCCTAAAAGCTGGCTGCTGTAGTAGTAGCCCTGTTGCTTTGCAGTTGCCCTTAATTGTTGTCTTGCCCCAATGGCCGACCCTTTTACTATGGTCGTATATACAACATAGGTTTGCTAACCATACCATTGTTAAGACTTTCTGAATTTGGAAAGTTTGAGGTAGAGAGGCATCTGCAGACGCCATTACAGCCCCAACCAGTTAGGAGAGAGAGAGAGAGAGAGAGAGAGAGAGAGAGAGAGAGAGAGGTGGTGGTTGAAAGTTGAGACTTGAGGAGGATGGCAACATATTCAAGAAATGTACGTATAGTAAAGCTTTCATTTTGCATAATTACTTAGGGAGAACATATTAGAGGAAGTTAATTATACTCATCATCCCATTCCAAGACCGAATAACACCGTGAATAACAATTCAACGTCGGTACAATTAATTGTCTTTGTATCGACTGACGTTACTTTGAATGTATTAATATTTTATGTACAAATTTATTAGGAGTTTCGAACTTTTCATGATCTTGAGGGTTAGATCATTATTTGATTTATCGGGTTCATTTGAGATGGAATGATAAAAGTTTGGTAGCTTTATGTATAAAAAATTAGTATTAAAGTTATCTTCCAGTTAGTGAGTAGCAAACCAGAATAACTTATATGATAAGTAATAATTAAAATCTTTCATGTCAAACACTAATCTATGCCAACATCCTCTTACATGATACTATTTTGTGTGTTAACCAATTCACACATCAATATCATATAAGACTTGATGATTAGGCATTGAGTATGAAAGAGTTTAGCGGAAGATGAAAACGTTATCATGCAAACCCTATTTGTTTATTTATATCAGATGTATTATTGGACCCTATGGGTACAGATATATACTTAAGTTAAGATGATCAGTAGAATTGGATAGTGACTACTATACATTGGGTGGTATAATTGTGCTGGTTAATTATGCCATGCATTAACATATTTAGTAATCATAATAATTAGGGTTTGTAGTCACTTATATTCTTACTATTTGGGTAAGAGCCAGCCAATAAGAATGGTAGTTTTGTGAAAGTGAAAGGGGCAGGCAAGTCATTTTGCTGCCTGAGCGCATTGAGTTGAAATTCTTGTACATAAAATACACTCCTTTTGGCCCTTCTCTCCCCATTAGCAAGTCAGGAGGAAGAAGAATAAGAAGAGAGGAAGGAACTGAAAGCACAGAGATATATAGCAGAAGAAACTGGTTGGTGGGTAGTTCTTCTTTCTTTCCTTCCTTCTTTCTTCCTTGTGCTATACTCATTTCCAGAGCTAGCTCCTATATACCTTTAATCTCCTTTCTTACTGCATGTTCTTCAAGAACAAGAAGGAAGAAGAAAAAAAATGCAAGTGGGTTTTCAGTTCTTCTGCTATATATAGTACTCATTTCCTGAGCTAGCTACTAACCTTAATTAATTAATTAATCTGGTCTCCCTCTCCTATTCTTCTGATTGTTCTTGGAGAACAAGAAGGAAATGCAAGTGGGGTTTCAGTTCTTAGACAAATTAAAGTAGCTGCTGTTTTCCTTTCTTCTGAGTTAAAACCCTTGCCTTGAATTGTTCTTTCGTTTAAAGGGAACCAGCAGCAGAAGAATGGGGAGAGGGAAGATCGCGATAAAGAGGATAGAGAACCAGACAACTCGGCAGGTGACCTTCTCGAAGCGCAGGAACGGCCTGCTGAAGAAGACCCACGAGCTGTCCGTGCTTTGTGATGCTCAGATCGGTCTCATCATCTTCTCCAGCACCGGCAAGCTCTGCCAGTACGCCTCCGACCCCTTCAGGTACTACTAGTGACGTTTCTGCATGTGCCTGCAGCAAGCAATATTTCAATTTCTTTTGGGGGCAAAAAGAGTAATGTGGAACTCACCTTACTTAGGGTTTCAACCTTTCGATGAGTGTGGTTGCAGGATGGAGCAGATCATAGAGAGGTATCAGAAGGCAACGGGCACCCGCATCCCTGAGCTTGACAATCGGGTAATTAACTTTAGTCTAATATAATCCCATCATCTCCATTCCACTAATTGATCAACTTATTGTTAATTACTTGGATGACAAAGCATTCTCAGGAACAAGTGTTGGGCGAGCTGGCGGTGCTGAGGAAGGAGACGAAGCAGCTCCAGCTGAGCATGAGGCGCTACACCGGCGAGGAAATGGCCTCCATCCCTTTCCACGACCTGGAGCAGCTGGAGCAGCAGCTCGAACGCTCCGTCACCAAGGTCCGCGACCGCAAGGTACATCCTTACTGCCTAATGCTTCATTCGTCCATTCATTCAGTAAGTGCCCGCCGCCGGCCTCTTAACGGATTAATGCATGCTGCAGAACGAGCTGTTGCAGCAGCAGCTGGAGAATCTACGCAGGAAGGTGATTCCTTTCGTCAATGATGCTTTATTCATGGTCACTAGCTATATATATATATATATATGTTCTTTCTTCTGTTCATTTCACGAGTGAGGGCTCAAATGGGTAGTAAACTATCCTTTTGCAGGAGAGGATGTTGGAGGAGCAGAACGGCAATATGTTCCGTTGGGTGAGCATATACAGTACTAACCAATCCCCAACTTTAATTTCGTAGTGAGTGAATGAATGAGTGAGTGATGAATTTTGATGGTTGATTGATTCAGATTCAGGAGAATCGGGCAGCGTTGGAGTATCAACAGCACCACCACCACCAAGCGCAGGTGGCTGCAGAAGCGAAGCCAATGGAGCATCAGCATCAGCTTCTGCAGCAGCTACAAGAGCAGTTCCCATTCTGCGGCGGCGAGCCCAGCAGCGTCCTCCAGCTCTCCACCATCCCACCTCACTTCAGCCCTTACAATCTCCAGCTCGGCCAGCCCAACCCTCTTCATCCACCTCCTAGTTCCGCCGCTGACCTCTAGAAGCTTGATCATCGCCCATCCATCTCACATCACATATATAGCATACAATCTGTCTATCTATCTAGCTTCTCCTGATTTCGATTGTTGGTACACTTTGGACTACATCCTTGACAATGATTCATGTGGATTTAATTCAATTCTAGTAGTACTTCATTCTTGTATTGAGTTCTAAGCCAATTAATCCAACTTCAACAACCAGACTATACAATCTGTACATAGACATGCATACATGAATCTCAACACAATCAAATTAGACCACAAGACTGTACCCAGTAGTTTTCTTCACCCCTTTCCTCTCCATTGCCCCTCTCGTGTCCCTGCATTCATCCCACCTTCTCACCTCGGCATAAACATTCGCCAGCCCGACATACCTCCCGTCGTTATCGGGCTGCATCTCGATCAGCTTCCTCCCTATTAACTCTGCAAGATCGAGCCTTTTGTGGTTCAAGCACCCGTTGAAGAGAGCGCCCAACATAGAAGGAGTTGGCTCGACCGGCATTCGTCCTAGAAACTCGTATGCTTCTGCCACCTGACCAGCTCGAGCCAGCATATCGACCAAGCAAGCATAGTGCTCGCTCTTGGCCGCCATGCCATGTTTTTCAAGGCAATCGAAGAAGTACCATGCTTCGTTCACCAACCCTCTGTGCGCACAAGCGCTCAACAAGCATAAATATGTGATCTCATCAGGTTTTATACCGGCCTTTTGCATCTCAGCGAACAAATGAAGACCTTCTTCGAGCAAACCATGCGTGGAAAGCCCACCAATCATGGCGTTCCAGATCAAGACGTCGGTTTTCTCGACAGGAAACTCACGGAAGACCTTCAGAGCTTCCTCTATTGCTCCGCATTTCGCGTACATGTCGACAAGAGAAGTTTGCAGGACCAGAGTCTTGGGCAAGAAGTTGTGGGTAATGTAGTCATGAATCGCCCTGCCTTTCTCGAGCTCGCCCAAGTGGGCACACGCACTCAGAACGCTCACCATGGTCACCTCATTCGCTTTCGTTTCGGCAACCTCCTGCATCTTCTCAAACATCACCATGGCTTCCTTGAATCCCCCTGCTTTAACATACCCATCGATCAAGGAGCTCCACGAGACGACGTCTCTCTCGTGCATAAGATCAAACACCTGACGCGCCAAAACCATGTCTCCACACTTGGCGTACCCGTCCACCATTGAGTTCCACGAGACCAGATTCTTCACGGGAATTTCGTCGAACACCATACGTGCACGAACTATATCCTTACACGACGCGTACATATGGACCATGGAATTCGCTATATACCTATCGGAATCGTACCCAGTCTTTGTTGTCCGCGCATGGACTGAGACGCCGAGTTTCAGCTCGAAGAGGCGGGACGAAGCCTTGAAAAGAAAAGGGTACGTGAGATGGTCCGGGGGAACTCCGGCTCGCAGCATTTGGACGAAAGCTGACAGTGCTCTGCTTGGTGATTTGGTGGCGGAGTAGCTTCTTACGACTGCATTCCAAGCGAAGGTCGGAGCGGGATTCGAGAGCCTTAATAGAACCCGATAGCAGTAATCGATGCAATTCGAATTGACGGATTGGGAGAAAGACTCGATTTTGGAGACGAATGTATCGACCTGAGGGAGGCACAGAGTGATGACCAGAGCATGAATCTGCTTGAGCTGTGGCAATGAGCTGCATCTGGCGAGTATGGAGATGAGGGTCTCGTTCTGTACGCCATTTTTGCATAGCAGGGAAGACAATCGACATGAGATTGTCGCTAACATAAACAGATCGCGAGGGATCGCTCGCTGGAACACTAAGGTGTCGTTTGGTTTTGGTGATTGTTTGATGAGGATAATTACAATTCATTTATTGTCCACAATACATTGTTTTTTGAATGTCTCCACAAACAATACATGCATTGTTTGTTTGATGTGACACAAACTATCACTCAAAAGAGTGATAGTTAAATCTCAAGTTTTTTGTGAGATTGTTGAGATTGTTGGTTTATTTTTTCTTCCCACTATATCCCTACTTTTTTATGTGTGTTACTTTTTAGGCAAAATACAGCTGTACATCTACAACTATCAGATTTGTGACAAATATATCCACAACTATCGAAATACAAGAAATATCCAAAAATCGGAAGGTTGTGTGACAAATCTATCCACTTCCGTCTGAAACTATAACGGCGTGTCGGACGGCGTTAAATTGACTAACGGAATGCTGAATCGATGCCATCTCACCTGCCACATAAGCCAAAAAGCAACCAGACTTTACACGTAGATGCCAAATTAGCTAGTTGAATAAAGGCAAAATACAGCTGTATATCCACAACTATCAGGTTTGTGACAAATATATCCACTCTTTTTTTTGACAAAAGATAATCATATATTGATATAATCAGATCGATAATTACATCCTGGAATTCAGCCAGGCCTGAAAGTCAAAATAACGACATGTAGTCGGGGAACAAAGACAGGGCCTGTCTAGCTACATTATGAGCTACCCTATTGCTACCCCGACCTACAAATCGTACAATGAAACCCGGATAGACCCTAAAAACCTGCAGAATCTCCTCCAAAATAGCCCCAATCCGACCATCACGCGCATCAGCCCGACAAAGCTTCTCAATGACTACCTTGGCGTCGCCTTCAAACCGCATTGACACAAAACCCTGCGTTATACACCAGCGGATTGCTTCGCGAAGGGTAAGTACTTCCGCCACCATTGGGTCATCTAGCCGAGGGAACTGAACACCAGCCGCCCAGAGGGTCTCCCCTCCCTCATTAAGGAGCACAAAGCCTCCTGCAGAGTGAGACCCTGAGCGGACTGCTCCATCCCACCGACCTTCCCCTGGGCAGATGACCGCAGAGACCTTTGTTTCCCCTCCCTCAGGAAGGACCCGCGGATTATATACTGGGGTTAGAGGGTACAGCTGTGTAATCCAGTTTGAGTCAAGTAAGGGGGCCGTTTGCCCATTTCCAATCTGCCATCGTAACCCTGCCGCCAACAACTGACGCCCATAAATAATGCTTTGCCATCACTAGGAAGGGCAGGAACGTGCCGTGGCAGAAAGGAAAGATCCCTGCGGGAAATACTTCCCCTTATAAACCTGAGCTAAGAGGGATTGAGGTTCATTAAGGATTCGCCATCCAATCTTAGCTAAAAGAGCTTGATTGAAATGCTCGAAACGACGAAACCCCATGCCTCCCTCATGTTTACTTCTACATATGTTTCGCCAGGAAACCCACCGGACCCGTGAGCAACCTTCTTCAACCCCCCACCAGAATCTCGCTACATGCTTGTCCAAGAGACGACAGAGAGACAATGGCAGACGAAAGCAGGACATCACATGGAGCGGCAAAGCTAGAGCAATCGATTTGATGAGAGTTTCTTTAGCTGCCGACGACAGGGTCCTCCGCTTCCAACCTTGTAGACGTTCTAGCAACTTCTCCTCCAGGTACCGGAACGTGGCTGTCTTGGATCTTGCTATCAAAGTGGGAAGACCAAGATACTTATCTTGAACCCCTACTGCGCCCACGCCAAGGATAGCCGCCAAGAACTCCTGGTCTGGCAAGGAGATGTTCTTACTAAAACACACCGCCGATTTCTCCAAATTCACCCTTTGGCCACTTAACTCCTCATACTCATTTAGTACTTCGATCAGATTCTCACACTCTTGTAGGGAACCACGGAGGAACAAGTAAGAATCATCAGCAAAGAACAAATGAGATATGCGAGGGGCCCGGGGCTCTACCTTGACCCCTGCCAGTCTCTTTTCCGAGATAGCTTTGCGGAGTAAAGCAGCAAACCCCTCCGTGCAAAGCACAAAGAGAAGGGGAGAAAGAGGATCCCCCTGACGAAGCCCTCGAGAAGGCGCAAAGAACCCTGATGGAGACCCATTCACTAGGACCGAGAAAGATGTGGACTGTAAACACTCCCGAATCCACCCTCGCCAAACCAAACTAAAGCCCATTTTTTCCAAAACCGCCAACAAAAGGACCATTCAACTCTATCATAGGCCTTTTCCGTAGCATCTTACTTGTAGTAAAAAAAGAGCCAACCGCTGACAGCACTAACTCCCCAACAATCTCCCAGAAGGCTTTAAAAAACTTACCCGTGAACCCATCTGAGCCAGGGGCCTGTTTTGAACCCATCGCAAAGACCATTTTGCGGATCTCGTGCGGACTGACCTCAGCGGTAAGGGTAGCATTCATTTCTGGGGTCACATTGGAGGCAATGGGGAGCTCAGCCACTCGCTCAACCATATTCTGAACTTGCGACTCCGAAGTGAAGAGAGATTGGTAAAAACTAGTCGCAATGTCCGCCTTCCCTTTTTCATCTGTTATCCACTTCCCGTCATCATTAAACAGGCCAGAAATAAAATTTCGCTTACGTCGAGTTCGCGTGACCGTGTGGAAGTAGGAAGTATTTTGATCACCTCTTTCAGCCACCGGACCCGCGATTTTTGCTGCCAGTAAACCTCTTCTGCCTCCCATTGCCTACTTAATTTTGTCTCGAGAGTAGCAACCTCTTGCCAGTTGATCGGGTGAACAGCCTTAATTCTGGCAATTTCATTTTGCAAGGTGTGGATATTTCGCCGGGAGTTGGTGGTTCCGGCTCTGCTCCAGTCATAGAGCAAATGGCGAAGCTTTTTCAACCTCTCCCACAACTGGAACATCGGAGTACCCTGAACTGGCTCCTGCCAAACATAAGCTACCATGGCCTTGACCTCAAGATTATCCGCCCACCTGGCATCAAACCGGAACAGAGGGCGACATGTTCGAACATAAGGTTTATCAGACAGAAGCAAAGCCCGATGGTCAGACCCCTGGTCAGTGAAATGTTTCACTAAGGTGTCTGGGAAAAGATCCATCCAACTCTGGGAGCAAAGCGCTCTGTCTAATCTTTCACGAATACATGCCTGCCCCATGCGTTTGTTTGTCCAGGTAAACACGTCACCCTGATACCCAGGGTCGTGCAACCCAAGATCTTGGACCATATTGCGAAGGTCCAAGGCTTGGGAAGCATTCCACGGGTTGCCCCCATCCTTTTCATTTTCTGATAAAGTCACATTGAGGTCACCAATGATCACAAAGGGGAGTTGCAGTCCCTCACAAAGCTCACGAATTTGCCTAAGTTGAGACGCACGCAAGGCGACATTACAACTCAAATAAGTACAGAGCACCACATAAGAAGAACCAATTTCATTAATTCTCGAACCAATACAAAAACTGGAATGATAAAACACCAAAGCATCAACTTCGGGGGACCAAGCAACAACAAGAGCACCATAACCATCAACAGCATCAACAAAAAAACACTGAGCAGACTCAAACCCTAAACCCCGCAACCGACGGGAAACTACTCTCCTGGACGACCTTGTTTCTGAAAAGAAAACAAGATCCGGATTATTCGAACGAACTAAATTAAAAGCTGTTTGGAACGTGAGGGATGGTCCAATTCCTCTCACATTCCAAGACAATAGCATCATTTATCGGATTGGGGCCATTTGTGGCTGGCTTCCTCCACCGCAACAGTCTCTGTACTTTCTTCCACAAATTGCCTCTTTGGGGTGGGACTGCCCTCAAACCCCTCCTCGGCCTCTTGCAAAGGCCGCTTACGAGCCCCATCATCAAGGTTAGATCCATATTCATTCAGTTTTAACACCATTTCACCTTCAGCCAGGTCCTCATGGTCTTGTTTCTCATTGATGGCCAGGTTCGCTTCAAAAGCAGCCACCACCTGCTTCACCTTCCCATTTTGACCATAATTTTCCTTGTCAGTGGGCTGGAGCCTGCTTTTGATAACGAACCGGAGCTCGTCCTCCTCAGATTGAGAGCCATCGGATACCCCTGAGCGGCAGCCTCCTCCATCACCATTTTTCTTTCCTCTGCCAATATAGTTTCCTCCAATTCGCCCAGTTTAACCAACCGCCGTTAATGCGAGCCAACTCGGAACTTGAACTCTCAATCACGCAGCGAAGCAAGAATGGTAGCGTGAGAATGGGTTTCGGAATAGTCGAATAGAGGTTTTGGCGGATAAAACGAACCAAGCTAGCAACTTCAACACGAAGGGGAAGAGGCTGGTTTGGGTAGAAGAATACTACGAGATCAAGGGTGGTGGGTTTGATCTCGAAGTCTGCAAGTCTAGGATCTCGATCCAAGACCAAACTCAAGCACTCGTGCTAAAAAACTCCTCGGAGTAACTTTTATTCAATTCAATGATAACGTGTTCTTTACAATGGATGAACAAAGCTATTTATAGCCAGAATAACATAACCTAATCCTATTAAAACAATAAAAACGAATTCAAGTTCAACAAGGAAAGTAATTAACACCAATCACCAAAACTTGCACGCTAAGCAAGTTGTCCAGGAAAGAGCGTTTCCTCCCATCTTCATGCCCGTCGATGGAAGCCTTCCAGGTAAGCAATCCTCTAGCCAATGCCATGTCTTTTTAGAACAACAAACATACATTCATGTGGTCTGAAGCCTCGAGGACGATTCTCACCCATGCTCATGAAACTGGGCTTCAAAGTCACCATCTCAAACACCCTTTCTGCCTTAGTCAAAAACTGGCAGATTTCCAGTTTCGTGACAGCATTTTGACGACCTTGGTTCACCCTCTTCATGGCTTCCCTTTGTCGATCCAAGCACTCCAACATGTATAAAAATATCCCAGGTTCACAACAAGTGCTCATTCTCCCATTTCTATTGAACCAATTGCGAGATACAACTCTCCAAAGAGGGCTTCCCAAAACTGTTTCCATACTTAGAAAAATCCCAGCTTTGTTCTTGTTGACTTGACACCATCTTTGATCGATTAATCGACAGACAAATGACGATGGAATTGATATCATATCAGCCGTCCTCCCTTCTTCCCTTTCGGAGCCGCGGCTGGAGAGCAACGGCCACTGATCGGCGGGGCCTCCTCGTCTGAGTCATCCAGGATCAGACGTCGGCGGCGAACTTCAGCCGGAGCCAGGTTGAATTTGCGCTCCGCTATCAGCTCCGCCGTGACACCAGCATCGATAGAAACGGGAAATTCCGCCTGCACCATTTCCTGGGGATGGGCTTGGACATGACAGCCTTGGCTTCTCCCCTCCTCCCCATCACCCCCGAGCATCATTCATCCAGGGCTGTTGTTGCATCTCGCGGGGGGGGGGGGGGGGGGGGGGTCGAGCATGGCGACCCAGCTGGATCTTCGGCGATCGCGGCATGTGGGAGCCGCGAGGGCTCTGGCGGCGCATTTTCCCGGCTGGCAACGGCGCTATGGTCTTGCGCGGATGACCAGTCAGCTGGCGAGCCGGCCCCTGGACATGCAGGTCGTGCCTCTCCCCCTGGACAGTCCGCCCATTTCCACCATGGCCCTCTCGCTGCTCTTTATAAGTTTTGTTGACCCATACCGAATTACCCCCCCCCTGCAAAAGAGGGGTTATTGTCTTCTGTGTCATATATCTGATTTCCCAGCTTCCGAGTGGACATGTGAGGCCCGAAGTTTTCTTTGCGAGCCAGAGGGTCAGAAGTACACGCCCGAAGCACATGGCCCACCCTACCACAGCGAAAGCAGAAGCTGGGTAGGTACTCATATTTTAGGCTAACCCAGAAGTTGCCTGTATCATCATTAATGGCATAAATCTGAGATCGAAGAGGCTTCGTGAAATCAATTAAAGTTTTGACTTTCACGAACCAGCGCCCCGTGTCTTGACAGGAAAACAGGTTGGATTCCAAAACTTTGCCAATGGTAGAATTCACCATCTTCCTCCCAAATTGTTGGGTGCATCATTCTTCTTTCACATCCCATAATTTCACCCGGAACGGGACAATTGCTAGGTCTTCGAAAATTTGTTTGGTAATCACTGGTGTCCAAGGGCGGAGGTGGGTGATTTGATCGTTGATGACCCATGGGGTACGTTTGAGCACCCATATCCGAGCCTCATCGCTGGGGAGCATGAACTCAACCAATCCATGCTTAGCTAGGACCACCCTGAGACGCCCTTGGATTAGCCAAGGTGTAAGCACACCTTCCCTCAAATCCGTTGTGGAAATTCTATTGGACGTGAAGACTCTACCAAGCAACGAGTCAGTTAACTTGATGACTGGATAGACGGTGGATGCTTAGTTAGTGTGTTTCTGGCCCCACTGAATGACGTGGATTAAAAGAGGGAAAAAATTTTAAAAACCCTAAAAACCACAGACGGCGAGACTAAAAATCTAACCCAGAAACATGCACGATAACCACTTATCCTCCTCCGATCGACGACTCCACCCCCAAATAACCCTACCCAGATTTCGATTCCAACCACAATCCCCAACAATTGCCTCCCTTTTACTCCGACAGCTTCCATGCAGTCGGCGCCATGGTGATACCAAGCTTGAATCTCAAACAAAACAAAAAAACTTGAATCTAACCAAATCGCCAACAGAGAAGACTGCAACAGCGAGGTCTAACAGATAACGGTGTAAAGTTTGGTTGCTTTTTGGCTTATGTGGCAGGTGAGATGGCATCGATTCAGCATTCCGTTAGTCAATTTAACGCCGTCTGACATGTCGTTATAGTTTCAGACGAAAATGGATAGATTTGTCACACAACCTTCCGATTTTTGGATATTTCGTGTATATCGATAGTTGTGGATATATTTGTCACAAACCTGATAGTTGTGGATATACAACTGTATTTTGCCTAAATTTTTTTTCTCTTTTAATCCACGTCATTTAGTGGGTTCAGAAACACGCCAACTAAGCATCCACCGTCTGTCCAGTCATCAAGTTAACTGACGGAGTTAACGGAGTGGACGGAAATGGATATTTCGTGTATTTCGATAGTTGTGGATATATTTGTCACAAACCTGATAGTTGTGGATATACAACTATATTTTGCCTACTTTTTAATACTAGAAACAAAGAGTAAAAGTGGTGAAAACAACATTTTGTCGTTTCCGAAAACAGCAGGAAGCTGCCACTTTCTGTTTTCAGAGTTGGAAACGAATATAAAACAGAATGAAAAGTAAACAGGTTTTCTCATTTCAATTGCCAAATTTATGACATGAAAACAGGAAACGAAAATGGAAGTGAACAGGGTCAGGGGTAGGGATGGCAATGGGTCGGGTGGGAGACGGATAGTGCATATCCGTTATCCTACCCAAAGTATTTCGGGTTTTATCCATACCCATACCTACATAAGAAACGGGTAGAAATTCAAAATCATGTCCATACCCGTTCGGATTTCGGGTATCCACGGTTATCCATGGGTAATAGTTTCTCTTTATAACTTCAACCAATATGTTAATATTCACATGTATTCTCACATTACGTAAGATAAAAAGTATGCCAATAATTCACTAGAATGAAGAAAATTCATTAAAACAACACAATTTCATGAAAAAGATTATATTTATACTAGCTTTTTACCCGACCCATTGGCCGGTGAGTTTCATTTTATCATTTACATTAATCAATTTATCTATATGTTTAAACTATTTTGGATCTTCTAAATTTTTTACATTTGCATTCATGCGTGAGTATGCGGCGCGTCTATAAATTAAAAATTCTAAATGCTTAGCACGTTCACTTATGATGTTTCGATTCTCTGATCACAAATCATGTTACAAAGATATATCACGTCCCATATAGAATCTTATGTCAAGATTGTCAACAACGATACTCAAATTTTTTTATGTTATACAATATATGCCATTCAATGAATCTCGAGTTTGGACGAACTCTCGACCAATGATGTTGCTCATATGACGACAACTTAGTTAGAATGTTTTTATAAAGGTACTTCAATATTAGATAAATTTGGTCATCCTAATTGAAAGTTTACTGTCTTATTGTAAGATCATATTTGTCGATCAAGACACAATTTAATATCTTATACAATATGTACCAATTGTTAGTTCCTGAAGTTTAATTTAGACTAACCCTCAACTCATGATCGTTGTTTAGATGTTGGTTTAGAATCTCGGTCCAAGATACTCACACACTGTCGAGGGTTCTAATCTTAACATGGTCCATTGGTGTATAATTTTCTAACTTATCAAATATGCATTTGCTTAAACTTATACTAATATCTTCATTTTGTTGGTGTAATGCCACATCTATTGTCAATATCTAAGCATGATACTATATACTCTAAGGAAGAAAACGCTATCTAGACCACGAATTAACCGGATTTGTGAGCATGATACTATACCCTAACTCTTGATGAGTGAACCCTATGTCTTAGTTATCTAAATCATAGAGCTTAACCCCAAAGATTGTGCATGTAATTTGTTGCATATATTTTGACGAAACATGACCGTTGATTTTTGTTTATAATTAAATTGATCTTAGGGTATGAGATTTATAAATTTAAGACCTAGATTTTAATCTTTAAGGGTTTGAGAATAATACCATATGCAAAACTTCAGTCAATTCAAGGTCTAGATATCATTTTCTTACTCAAGGTATGTCATAATATACATATATAAATATAAAGAGTTTAATGTATTTTTAAGTGTAATTAGCACCTTTGTTTGACCGAAATATGTAAACCGTTGAGAAAAATAAGGGGAAATATGAACAAAAGTAAGAGAAAAGAAGCATACATTATAAGAGAGAAGAAAAGTTGTCTTTCTTTATCGCCTTCATTTGTACAATCAGGTACTATATTATGACTTCGTCAAGTTTCTATCAAAATGAAAAACAACTTTTGAAGCATTTTGCTACCATATGCCAAACTCCAGCCAATTCAAGGTCTAGATACCATTTTCTTACTCAAGGTATGTCATAATATACATATATAAATATAAAGAGTTTAATGTATTTTTAAGTGTAATTAACACCTTTGTTTGATCGAAATATGTAAACTTTTAAGTGTGAACAAATGTAAGAGAAAATAAGGTATGGAAGCCTGCATTATAAGAGAAGAAAAGTTGTCTTTCTTTATCGCTTTCATTTGTACAATCAGTTACTATATTATGACTTCGTCAGGTTTCTATCAAAATGAAAAAAACTTTTGAAGCATTTTGCTATTTAATACTTGTTTTCATTGATAGATACAAACATTAGAAAAAGATAATGTTTGATAACCAAAAAATAAAATTATATAGTTGGTTTTTCAAATTCAATTGATTATTGAATGTTGATTATCTAAACTTCACTATATTAAGTTCTAATAAAAATAAAAATAAAAATTAATTGATCAGATTTAATCAAATATATTTGTTAAAGGATTACAATATATGTCACTCTTCAAATATAAGTATACTGCTACTATACATATTTATTTCCAAAAAAAAACTTATTGAATAAAAAAGAAAATATTGAAAGAAGATACAGATAGCTACATAAATGATCATTAAAATAAAAAGAAAATATTAAAAGAAGATAGATATAGCTACATTAATTGATCATTAACTAACTTTTTTGTTTGTAAAAAAAGTGGCACCTTGTAAATTCTTGGAAAAAATCCCAAAGTACACACGTTCTTAAAAAAAATTCTCAAAATACATGAGTTATAAAAAAAATTCCCAAAGTACACATGTTTGAGCATCACCGTTTTAGACAAACACGGTGAAGATCATCACCACGTTTGACAAACACGGTGAATACTTAATCGTTTTAAACAAAAACGGTGAAGTATTCACCGTTTCACACCAAAACGGTGAAGCTTTCACCGCGTTAATTAACAACGGTGAAAGCTTCACCGTTTTTGACCAAAACGGTGAAGCCTTCACCGTTGTTAACTAACGCGGTGATCATTTCCCACGTTTCCCACCCCTGGTAGGTCAAAATTAGGTCGCAGCTACCACCTATTCACCGTTTGAGACAAACGCGGTGATAGTGTTCACCGTTTTTGACAAAAACGGTGAATAGTAGTAGGCAGATTTTCCTATAAATACCACACCACCAGCAGTTGTAAAAACATAACCACTCCCCTTTCTTCAAATTTCAGCAGCCAAAATCGAGCATAATACACAGAACAGAAATTTTTCGGTATGTTGAGACTTTTCGTATTATGGTCTAATTATGTTTTTAGTAGTTATAGTATGATTTAATTTTCGTATTATGTTGTTG